AAATCCACGCCTTGATGGATGGTCCTTCTTCAAAAATATTCTTTAAAAAATCCACGCCTTGATGGATGGTCCTTCTTCAAAAATATTCTTTAAAAAATCCACGCCTTGATGGATGGTCCTTCTTCAAAAATATTCTTTAAAAAATCCACGCCTTGATGGATGGTCCTTCTTCAAAAAAAATTCTTTAAAAAATCCACGCCTTAATGGATGGTCCTTGAAAAAATATTCTTTAAATAATAAACGCCTTGATGGATGGTCCTTGAAAACAATATTCTTTAAATAATAAACGCCTTGATGAATGGTCCTTCTTCAAAAATATTCTTTAAAAAATCCACGCCTTGATGGATGGTCCTTCTTCAAAAATATTCTTTAAAAAATCGAGGCCTTGATGGATGGTCCTTTTCAAAAATATTCTTTAAAAAATCCACGCCTTGATGGATGGTCCTTGAAAAAATATTCTTTAAAAAATCCAAGCCTTGATGGATGGTCCTTGAAAAAATATTGTTTAAAAAACCCACGCCTTGATGGATGGTCCTTGAAAAAATATTGTTTAAAAATCCACGCCTTGATGGATGTTCCTTGAAAAAAATATTTTTTAAAAAATCCACGCCTTGATGGATGGTCCTTGAAAAAATATTCTTTAAAAAATCCACGCCTTGATGGATGGCCCTTGAAAAAATATTCTTTAAAAAATCCACACCTTGTGTAGGTCCTTGAAAAAAATATTCTTTAAGAAATCCACGCCTTGATGTATGGTCCTTGAAAAAATATTCTTTAAAAAATCCACGCCTTGATGGATGGTCCTTTTCAAAAATATTCTTTAAAAAATCCACGCCTTGATGGATGGTCCTTTTCAAAAATATTCTTTAAAAAATCCACGCCTTGATGGATGGTCCTTGAAAAAATATTGTTTAAAAAATCCACGCCTTGATGGATGGTTCTTGAAATAATATTCTTTAAAAAATCCAAGCCTTGATGGATGGTTCTTGAAAAAATATTGTTTAAAATCCACGCCTTGATGGATGTTCCTTGAAAAAAATATTCTTTAAACAATCCACGCCTTGATGGATGGTCCTGGAAAAATTAATCTTTAAAAAATCCACACCTTGATGGATGGTCCTTGAAAATTTTCTTTTACCTTTGACCCCATTTCCAAAATAATCAACGCTATTTGTAAAATTTTATTTATTTTTGTAATCTTTATTTAATTTCGAATAATTTTTTAACAATTTCGAAAAAATATGGAAAATAAATAATTGCAGAACTATTAACAAAAAATAGGAAACAAAAATATGAAAATAATTTAAATAAATTAATGTTTGTGTGAATGGTGTTGGACATTATTTTCTTGTTCAAAACAAATTCTTTTTTGTTTTTTAAATTCGAAGGTTAATATTAATAACTTAATACAAATTATAGATCATGTTTATTCTTCGTCGTATGCGACAGCTAAACTTAAAACTAAATAAATTCACAGATACAGATATAATTGTGTGTGTGTGTGTGGATAATACAGACAAATGTAGTTACAAAGGAAATACAAATATTGCTTTATACATATAATTAGGTTGCAAATAAGTCCATGACTTAAGTTAATAAATACGTGGCTTCCATCGTAACCATGTTTGTCTGTTTGCCACTTAAATCACCTTTAGTTGCAAAAAAAAAAAATAAAATAAAAAAAATAAAAAAAAAATAAAAAAAATAAAAAAATAATAAATAAATAAAATAATATTTTGTGACTTGTGACAGCAAGTAAAGCAAAACAAAAAATACATTTGCGGCAAAAAAAAATAGTATTGAAACCTGAATTAAGATTATTGTGTTCTTGGTTAAGTCTCGTGTTTCATTAAAGTAAGTTACAACAACAAAAAATATGTTTTGTATTTATGTTAGTATAAAACATTGTGTAAACTTATTTTAGATATTTTGATGATTTTGTGCTATAACAGTAATAATGGTAGGGCGAGAGAGAGAGAGAGCGAGAGTCTTATAAAACAAAATTCGTGGTTTCTTTTGAAAGGATGGTATGTTTTTTTTTGGGAGGGATGGGGTTTCGAATACATGATTACAAATAGTTGTAATAGTAGTAAATGGCAGTTAGTACAAGTCGAGAGAGTTTTTGTTTTTGTGTCCAATAATTACTTTGGCGTTTTGTTTTCAGTAATTTCTTTTAAATATATATTTTTTCATTATAATATATATTGCAATAATAAATTATATATAAAAATCCTTTTACATTTTGTTTTAAAACAGGGTCTGAAAAGTTGTGATGGACTATTTTCAAGACTTTAAATAATAAAAATGAATTTATGCATGAAAGCAATACTATCAAATATTCAGATTGATCTTCAAATCAGCATCCTGAAAGCAAATGACATTGAAGTAATCTCCAATATTTTCCACAATTTCTTCTTCTTTTCAGACCCAGAATTAAATTACAAACATTTGTTGATATATGTTTTTTCCTTATAAACAAAACCGAAATTACAAAATGTTTTTTTTCAGTTTTTTTGTTTAGTAAAAAAATAAACTTAAATTGTATGGCGCTTAAAGAAAATATTGTTACATTCCTATGTATGTATATATAATTATAAACAATTGTAATTTTCATTAATGTTAATAATTAAAGCAATATTGTTTGTTTGTGTCTTCTAAGAATTGTGCTTACATTGCAAAATTTGTTTATTTAGTTATGTTTATATTTAACACTGTGCCACCATTTACAAAACTAAATTGTAAAAAATCAAAATTTGTAGTAAAAGTTTTATAAGAAATCTATTACTTTTTCAAAGTGAGGTTAAATCATAAAGTGAGGTTATGTTGAAAAAATATTTTACAACTTTATAAACTGAGGTTATATTGAAAAAATATTCCATAGGAAATAATTTGTATTAGATATACTTTGTACTGGAGATCTCAAATTGAATATGGAAAAAATAAAAATTTAATAAAAAATTAAAATAACTTCAATTTGTATGCACAATGAGGTTATGTTGTATAAATAAATCCCTAGGCTTAGACGTGGAGTTACGGCAATGTTTGCAAAAACAAAATACATACGAATTCAAAAAAATATATTTGCATAACATAAAAAATCAATCTTTGAAAATCATTTCATATAAAATATTTACATTCTAAAAGTGAGGTTAGGTTTAAAACAAAATATTTTTTTATAGAAAATAGTTCTATCGACATAATGTTTTTTGCACATTATCAACACAATTAAATTGCAAACGAAAGCATTTCACAATACCAACTGATCTTGGTATAAATTGTGAACTTTAAGAATAGTGAGGTTATGTTGGAAAAATATTTTTTTACAAAAACTTTTAAAAACACATCACTTCAATATCCCAGTGAGACTATTACATGCAATATGTATATACACTTCCATTGGTAATAAGTTTAACATAAAGTGAGGTTATGTTGAAAAACTATTTTAGGAAATTTTCCTTAAAAAGTCTCTACGTTAAGTTTCGAAGTGACTGCATAACTTTCAAAAACCCAATGAACAATCAAAAAATTACAAAAAAATTAAATGTAAAACTCTAAAAACTTAAAGGTGGGTCTAGGACCAATATTTCGCGGCTCTTGGGGCTGCACAAAGCTATAATACCCTGACAACATAGTTGTGTGAGGTATAAAAATTAAACGTTTAAAATAACATTTTAATTTTAAAAACGTTTAAAAAAATGACGTTGTAACACTTTTTAAAACATAACCTTACTCTTTGTAACATACCCTCTCTTTTCTCACACGTGCATTTGGCTTTTACTACACAATATTTACTTTATTAGACTGTATTCCGACAAATTTTGTATTCTAACCTAAATTTTTGTAGTATAACCTCACTTATTTACAATATAACCTAACTTTTTGTAACATAACCTCAATTTTTGGTAACATTTATTCATAACATTCATTGGTTATAAGCAAAATTATGGAGAGGACCATTTTTTAATTTCACCACACCTTAAAAGTGACAATTTTTAAAACAAAACCTGACTCTTTGTAACATAACCTCACCTCACTTTTTCTTACATGTGCACTTGGTTTTTACTGCACAATATTTACTTTATTAGACTGTATTCCAACAAATTTTGTATTCTAACCTAAATTTTTTTAGTATAACCTCACTTATTTACAATATAACCTAACTTTTTGTAATATAACCTACATTTTTTGAATAAATACATTATTGCCAAAAGTTTTTATGCGGTAATAGATTTCTATAACCTATAAGAATTTATTTGCAGATTTTGTATCTTCTATTGATTTATCAATTATAAATCCCTTACAAGTTCCGTTGTCTAAATAAAATTCAAATTATTTTGTAATATAACCACACTTGAGATAACATAACCTCAAAATTGTTGTTACACAACCTCACTTTTTGTAACATAAACACAATTTTTAAACATACAAATCTCAGTTTTAAAATAGATAATAAATAATGTTTGATATCAGGCCACAATTTCACTTCTTTTATAACATAACCTCACTCTTTGTTAAATATAACCTCACATTTTGTAACAAAACCTCACTCTTTATTCAATATAACCTCAAATTTATTAATCTAACCTCACATTTTTGATAACATAACCACAATTATTTTAAATGTAAATAAGAAGCCTTGTAGCACAGTGTTTTAATTTGACATTTTGTTAAGCATTGCTATTTTTTTAATAAACGACGATATTTGTTCGATAAAAGCTTAAAGCTTTCAAAAACGTTTAAGCTTTCCTAGTTAATATCAGCAGCTGCTACTTTAAGTGGTGTTTTGTTTTGAATTTTCATTTTTTGTTTTTAGTTTTGTAAAACATCTATCTAAACTATGCTATTCAATTATATATCCCTTACTTGTCCTGCGAAGGGGGAGGGTGGGTCTAGTAACTCTGTTTTCAGCAATAGAAATACAAGTTTTCTAAATGTCATCATGTCATGGATTGATCGATCGATTGATTAAATGCATCATCATCATTATACGTTATGTGGACTCATTTTGGTGTCTCGGGCGGAGCTGTGGCATTGCCAAAAAGTTCTTCATAGGAAGGAGCTGGAAATTCAAAAAAGAAGAGAAAAATTAATAAAAAATTCTTTTATAAATATTCCAAACAAGAACTTACGCAATTCATGGGCCCCCGGTGGTGGCCGCATTGCCATATACGTGGACGACGACACCGATGCATAATGTGCACTAATCTGAGTTGTTGTCGCCGGTTGCTGCTGTGGTGGTGGTGTTGGCGTTGCACTTGGCGTCAGCTGATTAACATGCGGCATTAAACTATATTGTGGTGAATCGGACAATGGATATGGTGGCATATGTGCGGCTGGCGGTGGATATGAACTAATCATCAATGGACTACTCGAATAAGGCATATATGGTACATTGCTATTGCTACGTATACTAGCCCGATTGAGAGGGCTATTGAATTGCGATGACGATCCCGAGGTGTAAGAGAGGGCAGTACCACCCACAGCTGGACTTAGAGTGGCGGCCGATGAATCCGATGTTGTGGAATGCAGTGAACTCGATTCACTGCTATACTGCGACGAGTGTGATGGTGAACCAATGGAATTATCCAATGGCGGATACATGGTCATTGTGGAAGTTTCAAAAGGATTACCAGCACCCATATTTGACATCACTGCAACACCAGCACCACCACCTCCCTCTGGTGGTGGTTGCAGTGGTGGTCTTCTGACCGAAGCTTCAGTCTCATTGCTGTACATTTTAAAAGGCATATTTAAGACAAGATTTTTAAAGAAGCCCCTCAACACAGCCTCCACTCTCAGTTCATAGGAAATGTTGATGACACCCGAAAGTTCATCGTCGCTGGGTTGTACCGTTTCAGGTATTAACAATTCATGGGCAAATGAACGTTCACTTTTCTTGTGTACCGAACCGGTTTCTTTATTTGCCACCGGGATAATTTCCACTTTCTGGACCCTCAGCGGCAAATGGCTATAATAGCAAATATATTGGAGAACACAAAAGCGTAACTTTTCCACGTTTGTTCCGCTGTTATTGGTAACGGTAACACATATCCGTAACGGTTCTCCACGCACGGCAAAATCTTCCGGCAGCAAAGCTAACATTGTAATGGGCCGCGAACCAAATAGACTTATCGTTTTGGTAATTTGTTTCTCTAATGGTGTCGGATTCAAACGATACATTGGTGGTAGAGGCATATTTTTCATTACCGTTACGGGTATAGAGTGACGTTCATCGAATGACCATGGTCGTTGTATTAGGATACGTAATTTATATTTAATGGATCCATGGCTACCTTTAAAACTTGATGGTAAATTCCATTCCAATGGCATTGAGAAATCAAAGGTATGTTCACCAGGACTCAGTTCAATGCCACGCGGTTCAAATACCGACAAAGGAATTTCATTGTGGGCATAGATTTCTTTGCTCGAATAGAATAGGCTGCGTGTCGATTCATTATTTGAATTGGAATTTTTACGTAAAATTTCCATCCATTTACATTTGCCTTTGCCAGTTATTTGGACCTTGATGGCTGTGAGGGAAGAAAAAAAATATTTTTTTAGAAACAATTATATTGATGTTTTTTATATACTTAAAAAAGTTAGGTTATGTTGAGAAAAAATCGGTACATTTTTGTTGATGATTCAATAAAAGAAAATTAATGTCTTCAAAATTTCATCTTAACCTATAAGCTAGCTTTTTAATTGTAAAAGTAGAGAATGTGATAAAAGTTTCATATATTGCTTACAAAATTCCACAAAAATAAATTAAAAGCAATTAAAAATTTAATTTCACTTTTAAAATTTGCGTTAATTTATTATTAGCTATTCATTCACAACGGAATTACTGCTCATTGTGAATGATTGTAACACATGTTATTATGGGAGAGTGGTAGAGAAACAAACATCTATTAGTCATGGAGAGACCGTCAACAAAGAGGCTAATATATCAATAGTTAATGTATCCATTATGTATTTTTTTATCGAAAATAAAAAAATAGTATATTTCTTTTTTTAAATTATTCCTAGTTTATTCGCCTTTCCCATGTTTGCTTGGTTACCCCAAAAGACCATTCACAATAGACACATAACAAACAATCTCTACAATGTTGGCGCTTTTTCTGTATTTCTTATGTTGACATTACTCTTTTCAATGAGAAACCAGACACAATGACAAGAACAAGAAGAAGCATCATTTTGATTGAACAAGCAGCAGACGGCTAGTGTGTGGTGAACGAAAAAAAAATAAATTATTAATGATTTTTCGTTATGAAAAATAAATACCAAGGGTAGGTAATAAACAAAATAAGTAAGTACTACAATTAATTAATGAAAATGTGAAGAAAAACCGCAAAGAAAAATGAGGAAATGGAAGAAAAAAGACTAAAAAGAAAAGACACAGCCACATGAGGTAATCCAACATAGAGTATATACGCGATGCGGCGGCAGCTCCTCCTCTGCAAATAAGGTTTGGACAAAAATCTATAGACACACACACATACAACTATATTTAGTTGATGGTATATATAGATAAAATATATGAATTTTTGTTATTAACTACATTTAATTTTACACTTCCAGTTGATTTGGAGGAAAACAAACAAAACAGAAAAAATGGATGCTGAACTAATAAAGAAAGCCTTGTGCTTTCATGGCAAACCCATGCAAAAGATATGGGATGATGAGAGGGGCGCAATGGATTTACAAACTATGGGTGTACCGGAAGATGGCAATTACAGCGTCTACATGGAACGGCAAAAACATTTCACATTTCAGGATAGAGCCAAACGACTGAAATTGCATCAATTTTTGGCACGCAAAGCAGATGATCTCTACGACAGGGACTTGTCGAAAATTCCCGCTATACCAAGGAAAATAGAACTTAATCCGGAGGATAAAAGTAAGTGTATTTGGCAAACCAGAATTTGCGGTATAAAAATACGTATTGCAAATATGTTAAAAACGTTAAAACGGTCAAAGTGAGAATTTAGTTTTGAAAAACATGGTAAGCTACTGCGTCCTTTCTATCCTATTTTCTTTGAAATTAGCTATGCTACACCATCATATATTTAACTCTATAATTTTAGATAATCAAGCAATTATGGTTAAGATGCCGCCATATGAAACATTTTTACAAAAAAATCAAGATAAAGTTAAGCGGCACATCCTTGAATCAATTAAGCCGGGCGATATTGTCTATGCCACAATTTTAAAAGGCAAACTTGGTTCTGTAGCTCCGCTTGTGGTCAAACCTTTGTGTACGGAAGAGAATAATTTCAAAATGCTAAAGGATTATAAAATTAAGGTGAGAAATTTGACAACACATTTCGGGATTTGAAAAAAATAATAGATTTGTTATACCCCCCTTCCTCACATAAGGTGAAACCATAATTCATAGTGCATTTTATATATCATTATTGGATCGTATACACTTTTTTCTAAAACAATGAAATTTTATTTAAAAAAAAAATATATTAATATCTTTATCTCTTTCAGACCACAATTCCGACGCATTTATCTGGCCCCCCAGTGTTGGAAAGTACTACTTCAGCCAATCATCGTGATAATATACGCTGTGAAGTCATTGAAATTTCGGTGGATGCTGAACGCATGACCCTCAGTCTAGAGCCATTTGCAGAGAAAAATAAAAATAAGAAATTAGGAGCAATAACAGTAAAAGAATTACCATCATTGTATGGGTAAGTCTTTAGATGAATGCACATAGCTAAACATTTCCATTATCATCACATCCCTAAACATAACAGTAAACTTACGGAAAATCCCCAAACCTATGAGCAATATTTGCACAGTGCCCCCGAATTGGAAAATCCAAATTATGATGTGCTATATGCCAGTGTGGGCTTAGACGTGAATGATAATTTCACCTTAATGAATAATTTTAAAGATGGCTTCCCACAACAAGAATATGCCAAAGAATTGAGACAGATACAGGCCAGTAAATGGGCATTTAGGTAAGTCCAATAAATTTGCAAAATTTTCTAATTTATTTTCCTTCCTCTTTTCCTCTTTTAGATCTGTGGCCGAGGGTATTGAATATTTTAAAGTTGGCCAACATGTTGAGGCATTCCAGTGTTTGAATAAAGCATTAAATATTGATCCACGAAATGTTGAAGGTTTGGTGGCTCGTGGTGCATTATATGCCAATAAAGGATCATTCCTCAAAGCCGTGGAAGATTTTGAAAAGGCCTTAAAATTAAACTCTTTACATGTTAATGCCCGCAAATATATGGGAGAGACCTTGGTCGCCTTGGGTCGTAGTTATGAGGAAGATAATCGTATACAAGATGCCGCCAAGGCATATCGTGATTGTTTAAATATAATACCAAATCATGAGCAGGCCACACTACTACTGGAAGCCATACAACATAGAACTGGAGCTAATGTTGATGTTGCTCCACCGCCACCAATGTTTGGAAATTCTTATGAACAAATGGGTATGTCAAACCTCTTTTGAAATTTAAAATGTTCAATGTGATATTTTCTTTTGGAATCACTTGATACGCAACAAGAAGAGATTTTTCGGGACTTCGGTTTATTATTAATATTTTATTTTGAGTTATTTGCTATCGTACAAAATGACTAAGACCACCGCGACAATGCTGACAATTTGTTGGCAACATTTCTTTCGAAATTTAACTCTATTTTACGTTACTCTATTTTAAGTATAAAACAGTGTGTGAATATTTTTCGATATTTACTCAATATTTCCGGAACGCAATTTCATTTGAAATTTACTTTTACGGCCCTTTAAATTTTAAAACATCGCTCTACACTTTGATGTCTTATCAAACGAATTGTTCTTTATCTTCGGAAATCAGATTTACTTTAAGTTAACTTTTTATGTGAAACCCAAATCCTTACAAGGAAGTCTATACATTTCATCCCAATTGCTTCACATTGCTTTCATTCAGTTGCAAACTTACTAAAACTCTAAATGTGATAATTTGAGAAATCCGAATATCAAGTCTCGTAATTTACGTATTGAGACGACTACCACTCCATGTGATTTTTTCGGTCTGTTTTCGTTTTGACCTTTGAGAATCGAGAAAATAATGTGAATTTTTGTCCATAACAGATAGAGCATCCTCAGCAAGTCAAGGCTCAGATTCCGATGATTCATCTGATTCAGAATCCGATTCGGAAGGTAAGTAGGCCACAACAAGACCATTAAAAATGAATACTCTTACATTTATATTATTTTGCTGTATTTTCATTCAAAGAAAATCGCCCCTCACACAGTAAAAAAGCAGATTCGTTATCGCCCTTAAGCAAAAAATTAGCCTTACATGCCCAAGAAATGAAAGTATCCAGAAAACAGGTGTTCAGCCAACCATTTTATGTTAATCAAAGTGCGGCGCCTACGACGTCGGTTGTTCCCAATGAGTTTAAGGTGAGTCACACAAATCTTCAAATTACACAAAAATAAACACCCACCCCAATTTTTAAAGCTTGATGAGGATGACACCGAGACAAGGGTTCGCAAACTTTTGCAAGAGGCTTCAAAGCACAAAAAAGATAAGAAAAAAAGTAAAAAATCTAAAAAGTCCAAGAAAGCAAAGAAAAGTTCAAAGGATAACAACAAGGATTCGGAAGATGAATATTCAAGGTAACATCAACCTTAAAGAGATGATTCAGTTTTCTTTGCCAAAATGCATGGAAATTAATCAATTTCATTTCCAGATATGATAACCAACAACTCGATTTGGATATACAAAGCCGAGAACATGCTTTAAATGAAAATTTAAAATTATATGAAAAATCCATACAGCTGTTGAAGAAACGTCAACTGTTATTGGATCATCAACCAACAACATCGACAGCAGCCGCAGCGACGTCGATGGCAGCATCCAATATTAATACGTCGTCTTTGGCACGTAAGAGAGATAAATCTGAGACACCGCCACCAGCCCCCTCATTTAGATCCGATAAAAATCGTAATAATGGTAAGGATTATCATACCATAGGATTTGGTAAGCAATCGTCAGCATCTACTGCAGGGTCATCGCAGCTGCATCACAACTCAGCGACGGCAAAGAAAGAGGAGAAAAAGTTATCTTTTCAAATTCGTAAACCTGTTACCGTGGATAAATTCGGTTTGATACGATTACGATCGCCCTTTCAACCGGAGAAAAGTCCAACACCAAAATCTCCCTCACCTAAACGTAGACGTTTACGATCCCGTTCCCGATCTCGTTCTAGATCACGTTCTCGCGGCTATCGGCGCAGTAGTCGTAGCCGTAGTATTGGTAGATCACGATCACGTCGTTGGCATTCACGTTCACGTAGTCGTTCGCGTGAACGTTACGCCGCACGACGTAGACGTCGTTCTACATCACGTTCTCGTTCAAGTTCATACTCTGACAGACGTCGGAGAGATTCACGTTCACGATCGCGTTCTCTTTCACGGGGTCGTAGGCGTCGTTCGCCATCACCATTTCATCGTGGACGACGTTCACCATCGTCCCCATCCAGCAGCCGCCGTCGTTCGTATGGCCGACGTTCACGTTCGCCCGCTTATTATGGTCGCGGCGGACGTGGTGGTTTTCGTGGTGGACGTGGTTTTAGTTATCGCGGTAGTTATCATTCATCGAAATTTGGTAATCGTGTTTGGAAAAATCCCAATTCAAATGATCCATCATCAACAAAGGATTCCTCGCCGGATGATGGTCGTTGGCCTCATGATAAATATGAAAATACCAGCCCTAGGGCAGATGGGAATCCCGATGATCCCACAATTGAGGAAATTGATGAGATTATAAGTAAGGCACAGCGTGAACGTAAGCAGAATATTATCAATAATGATAAGGATATACTTAAGAAACCGAATAAATGGTAAATTAAAAAAAATATAACATCAACAAGAAACAAATTCTCAAACAAAGCAGAATATACAAGAACAAATTCTCTTTTTGCATTTAAAATGTAAATCTAAGAAATTTAATAAAAAATACAATATTTCGTAAAATAAAATTTAAAAAATGTGTATATTTAAATTTTAAAATTATAATCAAATTATCAATCAGACACCCGTTCGAAATATATATTGAAGCTATAACGTCATTCTAGTCTCAATTTGATACGTTTTGCAAAATTTCGTGTCAATCGGACAAACATTAGGAGTTTGGTGCACCATTTACATAAAATCGGATGAAAATATATATGGGAGCTATATCTAAAACTGAACCGATTTTCACGAAACTTAACACACATTATTCTGGACATAATTCATTACACCATGCCAACTTTCGTGCAAATCGAAAGATATATAGAGGCTGTGCTACACCATTTACATAAAATCGGACGGAAATATATATGGGAGCTATATCTAAATCTGAACCGATTTTCACTAAATTTTACACACATTATTCTAGACTTAATTCAGTACGCTATGCCCTATTTCGTGCATATCGAAAAATATATAGGGACTTTGGTGCACCGTTTACATTAAATCGGACGAAAATATATATGGGACCTATATCTAAATCTGAACAGATTTTCACGATACTTAACACACACCAATCTTAATTTAATTCAGTGCACCATGCCAACTTTCGTGCAATTCGAAAGATATGTAGGTACTTTGGTCCAACCATTTACATAAAATCGGACGAAAATGTATATGGGAACTATATCTGAATCGATTTTCAGGAAACTTAACACACACCATTCTGGACTTAATTCAGTATGCCATGCCAATTTTCGTGCAAACCGAAAGATATATAGAGGCTGTGGCGCACCATTTACCTAAAATCGGACGAAAATATATATGTGAGCTATATCTAAATCTGAACCGATTTTCAGGAAACTGAGCACACATCATTCTAGACTCAATTCATTACGCTATGCCAAATTTCGTGCAAATCGAAGGATACAAAGGGACTTTGGTCCACCATTTACATTAAATCGGATGAAAATATATATGGGAGCTATATCTAAAACTGAACCGATTTTCACGAAACTTAACACACATTATTCTGGACTTAATTCAGTACGCTATGCCAAATTTCGTGCAAATCGAAGGATACAAAGGGACTTTGGTCTACCATTTACATGAATATATATATATATATATACAGTGGTGGTCACAGAATTAAAACATTTACTGTGGTAAACATTTTTTGATCCGCCCTCGATTCGTTTGAAGTATTTTTGAAAATTTTTTAATTCAGAACACTTCGATATACTGCACTTAAGAGATTTAGTGTGAAAATGGAAAATTATTGCATACAATTTTTCCATAAATAACGGTTTTTATGAAAATACATCGACCTTGAAGTGGCCATATAATTAAAACATTGTGTGATTTTTTACTTTACTGAATTTTTTGAAAATATTTTTAAAAAAGCTCTTCAATTTAGTTAAATTATGTAAACTAAGCACCGATAAAATCATTTACTGATAAAAAATTTTGAAAAAATCTGTAAAATCTATCAAAATTGCCGAAAATTTGTACAGTACACCTTACATTCAGAAAATAACCCTTATTATAGAAAATAAAGGTCCGAATGCACCAGAAATTGCTAGAATTATTAGAAAACAATAAATAATTCTCAAAATAAATAAATATTTGAAAAAAAATTGAAAAAAAGGGAATTATCCTAAAAGAACGACTCAATTTCGATAGCCTTTATTGAAGAAGTCCGGAATATTTTTGCAGTATGTAAGGAAATATCGATTGATATTGGCATTTATTATATCAAATCGATTGTTTGAGTATTACAGAATATATTTTATCAAAAAATATATCAGTGACAACAGAACGAACAGAGATCAACACCTATGTTGACGAGAAAACGTTTCTGGTACACAGGAGCATGTTTGATGGTTAACTCTTGACCCTTAAAATCTATTGAACATGACAATATTTTTCCAAAATAATATTTTTTTAATATAATAATGTCCGTTTAATCTATTTTAGCCTAAAAGACAGAAAAATTTTCAATTTGACAAATATTTAAAGTCTTGTGTTGAGCATCAAAAATGCTGCTGTGTACCAGAAACGTTTTCTCGTCAACATAGGTGTTGATCTCTGTTCGTTCTGTTGTCACTGATATATTTTTTGATAAAATATATTCTGTACTACTCAAACAATCGATTTGATATAATAAATGCCAATATCAATCGATATTTCCTTACATACTGCAAAAATATTCCGGACTTCTTCAATAAAGGCTATCGAAATTGAGTCGTTCTTTTAGGATAATTCCCATTTTTTCAGTTTTATTTCAAATATTTATTTATTTTGAGAATTATTTATTGTTTTCTAATAATTCTAGCAATTTCTGGTGCATTCGGACCTTTATTTTCTATAATAAGGGTTATTTTCTGAATGTAAGGTGTACTGTACAAATTTTCGGCAATTTTGATAGATTTTACAGATTTTTTCTAAATTTTTTATCAGTAAATGATTTTATCGGTGCTTAGTTTACATAATTTAACTAAATTAAAGAGCTTTTTTAAAAATATTTTCAAAAAATTCAGTAAAGTAAAAAATCACACAATGTTTTAATTATATGGCCACTTCAAGGTCGATGTATTTTCATAAAAACCGTTATTTATGGAAAAATTGTATGCAATAATTTTCCATTTTCACACTAAATCTCTTAAGTGCAGTGTATCGAAGTGTTCTGAATTAAAAAAAAATTCAAAAATACTTCAAACAAATCGAGGGCAGATCAAAAAATGTTTACCACAGTAAATGTTTTAATTCTGTGACCACCACTGTATATGGGAGCTATATCTAACTCTGAATCGATATGCAGGAAACTAAGAACACATTATTCTAGACTCAATTTAGTACACTATGCCCAATTTCGTGCAAATCGAAAGATATATAGAGGCTGTGGTTCACCATTTACATAAAACCGGACGAAAATATATATGGGAGCTATATCTAAATCTGAACCGATTATCACGAAACATTAAATCGGACGTAAATATATTTAGGAGCTATATCTATATCTGAACCGATTTTCTTAAATTTCAATAGGGTTTCTCAGTGGTCCAAATAAATGAGCTGTGCCAAATTTCATCCGATTCGCATCATAAATGTGACCTGTACGTTGTTTACAATTTAACATGGACAGACGGACGGACATGCATAAATCGATCTAAAAGAAAAATATAATTACGTTTAATTTTCATTTAATTAAAAAACAACAATCCCCTATCATAACAACTTCATCTGGTAATTCACATTAGTGCATCATTAATGAATGAGATAATTTTCTCCGGCCCCCAAAACAAAAACAAACTTCATTCACCGTTTACAAAGAGAATACAGTGGAGAGAGAGTACGACACAGCAATGCAATACAAAATCAATCACAATGTATTCGTATGGGGGATTTTGGCAAATCTCTCTGCCCAGCGTGACCGTTGTGCCACTAAAGTATCAATTTTGATACTTTTTTTCGGCCTTGCCACTCTTGTGCCACTTTTTTATTTTGATACCAAATGTGCCACTTTTTGAAATTTTGTGCAACTTCTTCCTATATGTTGCCACTTTGTTTTAAAATGCTCGTTCACGAAGATATTTACTAAGAAAATATTCATGTGCACCATTTTTCAATTGGTTTATTGAAATTGTCTATTAGAATTTTTACATACTGTAGTACAGGGAATTGTTATTGTGCATTAGATGACATACGGAAAGTATTTTTGTAACCCAAATGAAGGTAACATTATGATGCGACGTATACAAGATGGTGCGCCTAAGACCCTAATTTTTCCCAATTGGGTATCGAATAGAGTCTACAATGACTTTTCATGGGATACAGGCTTGGGATGAGAATAATGTGGTATTGAAATATTTGAACATAAGACTTAGCTTTTGACCGATTTTAAAATTTGTAAGTACCGTCCATATATAATTTCATCAGATTCCATGTTAATATGTAGCAAAATAGTGTGCCACTTTTTGTGCCACCTTTTCAAAAGAGTTTTGCCACTTTTTTTCAAAAATGATACTTTCTGTGATACTTTTCGAAAATATTGAGCGGTCACGCTGTCTCTGCCACTCCAGTGGAGAGAGATATAGTGGGCAGATAGAGAGCAGAGCTTGAGATAACTGCAAATAATTCGTATCTTTTTTTCTCCCAAATAAACAAGTATTTTTATTTTTCGTTCATATTGACTCCACCAACAAATATCAACCAAATACAACTGGGCATAAATTCCCCAACTGTTGGAGAAACAAAAACCAAAAACACTGAGTGTAAAAATATAGGAACGAAGGCAACGACGAATGGATTTCAGGCAAAATATCGTGTCAGTAGTTTCGGTAGTGGTATTGACATTAGACGCGTTGTAGTGGTTTAGCATTTAGAATTTTTTGGCAAAACAAAAGGAAAAAAGGTTTGCGTGTCATCATTTTGTTGTTTTGTTTTTCATATAAAAATAGAATATCTTACTCACATTTTGCAAACATACATTTCCACATCAACAACCTGCATTTGGTAATTAGGTTGCAAAGGAAAGAAGGAAGGAAAAATACATCGAGGTAAACTAAATTTGAAGGTGTGCAAAATGTTCCTATTTTGCATTATCTTTTGAGTGTGTGTGAAAAATAGTGTGCTTGTCACAAAACGAAGACAATGTTTTATATTTTCTTTTATCAATTTAAAAAAATTAATTATTTTCGATCAAAGTTCAATTAATATCAATTTGTTGGTATCATAGATTGTGTTATTTTTTCTGTTCATATTCACATGCTTGTCTTCGTATTTTTTTTTTTATAATTTCCTCCGGTTTGGACTTTGAGCTCCCTCTCTCACTGTCATTTACCAACAAGAACAGCTTATTTGTATGTATGGTGTGGTGTGTATGCAAAAACTAACCGGAATGGAGGGTGGCTGGCACTCTATAGGTGGTAATAAAAGTAAATATTTACCTATATTGTTTATAAACAAAAACTTTGGTAAATATAAAGGAGAATATAAAAGTTTCTATTTGTTAACCAAAGAAACCATAGAAGTTCTAGGATTGTAGAAGAATTGACAATCGAATAACCTTAACAGTAATTGATACATTGAAATAAGTTAATGTATTTATGTAGATGAAATATCTACGTTAGATAACGTCAGAAGAAACATATCTGTTGAATGATGTAAATTATTAAAATAACTTTGATAAAATATCATGGATATCCAAACAACGCAGATAAAGTATCTACGTTATACAAATCACATAGATAAAGTATCTACGTTATCGAAATAACCAGGATAAAGTATCTACGTTATCCAAACAACGTGGATATGGCATCTACATTATCCAAATATTATCTAAATAACCCGGATAAAGTATATACGTTATCCAAAATACGTGGATAAAGTATCTACATTATCCAAATAACTTGGATAATGTACCTACGATATCCAATCAACGTAGATAAAGTATCTACACTATCTAAATAACGTAGATAAAGTATCTACGTTATCTAAATAACCGGTATAATGTATCTACGGTATCCAAACAACGTGGATCCAAATAACGTGGATAAAGTATCTGAGTTATTCAAATAACGTAGATAATGTATCTACATTATCTAAATAACCCGGATAAAGTATCTACAATATCCAAATAACCTGGATAAAGTATCTACATTATCCAAACAACATGGATATAGTATCTACATTATCCAAATATAGCTAATAAAGTATTTATCTGGATAAAGGAACTACGTTATCCAAACAACGTAGATAATGTATCTAAGTTTTTCAAATAATGTAGAAAATTTATCTACATTATCCAAATAAAATAAAGTATATACGTTAACTAAATAACCTGAATAAAATATCTACGTTATCCAAACAACGTAAGATATATGTTATTCATATTACGAAGATAAAAAATACGAAGAAAAAATTATCCAGTTAACGTAGAAAAAATTCTAAGTTATCCGAACTCCTTTACAAAGTATCTACGTCATATAAATAACGTGGATAATGTATCTACGTTATCCAATTAACGTGGATAATGTATCTAAGTTATCCAATTAACGTGGATAAAGTATCTACGTTATCAGAACAGCTTACATAAGGCATCTACACTACCTAAATAACGTGGATAAAATATCTACTTTAACCAAACAACATAAGATATATGTTATTCAAATTATGAAAAAATAACGAAGAAAAAAATTACTCAGTAACCTGGGTACTTTTTTTCAATAGAAAAAAATTCCTCAGTACCCTAGGACTCTTTTCAAGAGAAAAAATCCTCAGTACCCTGAGGACTCTTTTTTTCAATAGAAAATAATTCCTTAGAACCCTGAGGACCTCAGTACCTTGTGGACTCTTTTTTTCTCAATAGAAAAAATCCTCAGTACCCTGAGGACTCTTTTATCAATAGAAAAAAATCCTCAGTAGCCTGAGTTCTAAAGAAAAGATTTCTTTTATTTAAAAATTATCGGTCTTAAATATAGGCCTACACATATTCTAATGTATCCACCAATAAAAATATGTTGTTTATATTATTTCTTGTTAATAAAACTCTCACGATTTTTTATGTATTTTGTATTATAAAACCAGTTTTCAAATCTGAGGGGGAAGAATTAGTAACGTTTTTTGTTTGTTTGGTTTTATCAAATCATGAACAGGCAGCAATAGTGCAAAATTCACATTCACATTATCAAAATCACCCCAGCTTTTATTGTACAACAAAAAAAAATTGTTTATAATCTGCTTATCATTTTCTATATATTTTATTTTGTTTTTTTGAATTTCAGTTTCAATTCGGAATTTGCTAAACGCGGACGACGGCAACACCCAATTCGCACAAAAAAAATTAAATCAAAACATATTACACAAGCAAAATGATATCAAAAATATTCCGAGCTGTTATACTGGGTGCACCTGCCTCCGGTAAGGGAACCATATCAAAACGTATTGTGGATAAATTTGGCTTCGATCACATATCACCTGGCGATATTTTGCGCATGAATGTCAAAAACAATACTGCGCTAGGTAAAGAGGCTAAAGTTTTCATTGACCAGGGCAAATTGGTGCCCGATGATTTGATCATTAAGTGTGTCATGAGCCGTCTGCAAGAATCTCAGGGTAAATCATGGATGTTAGATGGTTTTCCACGTACCCGTGTTCAGGCTGAACGTTTGGCAAAAGTTGAAGCTCTCGATGCTGTGATAAATCTTGAAGTGCCCCACGAAGTGATTATAGATCGTGTTAAGGGGCGATGGATTCATTTGCCATCGGGCCGTGTTTATAATGTTGGTTTTAATGAGCCTAAGGTGCCGGGTAAAGATGATATTACTGGGGAGGATTTGGTACAACGCGATGATGATAAACCAGAAATTGTTGCTCAACGTTTACAGGTCTATGAGGAAATGATGAAACCCGTCTTGGACTTTTACTATGAACATAATTTAGTTACAAATTTCAAGGGGAAAACTACCGCGGAAATATGGCCGAAAGTGGAGCAATTCCTGTTGGAGAGAACCAAGGCAGCTGTTATGGCAGGAAGACTGTAATAAATAAATAACACTATTTTATTTAATTTCTAAACTTTCCATTTGAAAGAGATCTTCGGAAAAGAAACACAAAGTGTTTAATATTTTTTAACTTAGTTGTAGTTAATTTGTGATTAAATTGTATTACGTTTTTATAATACAACAATAACAATTTTAATATGAAATCATTTCTTGTTCCATCATGACTAGAACAATAATAAAAATAAAATAATTAAAATCCTATTAAAAAAATAATTATCAAAAACCTTTAACAACTCTACACAATAACCCTTCTTGACAATGTTCGCCCGTCCGTCCGACAAAGCCATTCAAATGAAAGTGAATTTTGTTTTCCTTTAGTTTCTGATAAAGCCATTTGTTATCTTCTTTGGCAACAGCGTTCGTCGCCGTAGTGGGTCTTTAACGGAGAAGACAAATGTGGCCTTTGATTCTAATTTGCCATAAACAATGTTGTGGGAGATGATTGTGTGCGAATTTATATGTTTGTATGTGGGTGTGTCGCAAATGGATCTCATTCCAGTAAAATCATATTTATTTAGCAAATATTATTTTTTTATTGTCATTTATTTACATTTGAACTTTGCATGTCGTCTGACTTGATCGTTATGACAGATTTTAAGGTGTAGCGGCGTTACTCTGGACTCCAAATCACTAATGCACAAAATAGTACGATAGCGGTGATGGCTAATCATGTATTCTCCTTCTTTCTCTTTACGTCAGTCGTTTTTGTTGATGTTCTCTCAGTTCCGCTCCCACACATTTACTCTTTATTTAATTCTGTTCAACTCTGCTCCAAATACAGATGTGTCGTGTATTGTGAATGATTAAGCAAAACCAACTCCTCTCACACACTCTACTCTCAACACAGCTTTCTTTGCTCTTCTCTTAAGAAATAATTAAAGCAAGAGGGTTACCAGATTTATTAAATCAGCAAACTGAGGATACTTTAAAATAGAAAAAAGAGTCATCAGCGAACTTAGCTTTTTTTCTATAGAAAAAATAATCTTCAGGAGAAATTGAAGAGAACATTGACATGAAATTTGTTCTAAAAAAAACAGTCCTCAGAATACTGAGGACTTTGGTTCACCATTTACATTAAATCGGACAAAAATATATGGGAGATATATCTAAATCTGAACCAATTTTCACGAATTCCAGACTCAATATAAACCGCTATGCCAAATTTCGTGCAAATCGAAAGAAATATAGGGACTTTGGTACACCATTTACCTTAAATCGGACAAAATTGTACATATATGGGAGCTATATCTAAATCTAGACCGATATTCACGAAACTTAAAACACATCATTCTAAGCCTAGTTCAAAACGTTATGCCAAATTTCCTGCATATCGATAGATATATAGGAACTTTAATTCACCATTTACATTAAATCGGACAAAATTGTACATATATAGGAGCTATATCTAAATCTGAACGATCGTAAGATATATAGGGACTTTGGTGCTATTAAATCGGACGAAAATTTATATGGGGACTATATCTAAATCTGAACCGATTTTCACGAAATTTAACACGCATCATTCCAGACACAATTCAGTACGCTATGTCAAATTTCGTGCAAATCGAAAGATATATAAGGACTTTGGTTCACCATTTACATTAAATCGGACGAAAATATATATGGGAGTTATATGTAAATCTGAACCGATTTCCACCAAACTTAACAGACTCATTTCAGACTCAATTTAGTGCGCTATGCACTAATTTTTTTCCATAGAAAAAAAAAACAGTCCTCAGACGTACCTTGGATTTTTTTTAAGAAAAAAGACCTCCGCGAAGTTTGGAATTTTTTTGTTCGAAAAATATATATGAGAAATATTTTGCTATAGAAAAAACAGTGCTCAGCGTGCTAAGGATTTTTTTATAGAAGATACCTCGTTAACTTTTGATAATAAAGCCGAACCTATATATCGGGCTTTAATATCTAAAATTTTAAATTTTCTGAATGAAACCACAAAAATATTTCGTTCATATTTCTTTTCAGATTCTTATCAAGTTTTTTAAGCACCCTTTTATTTGCCAGAGAACCCCTCCAGTAAACCGCAGAAATTACGAGATTTTACTATTTCAGGACAGAGGCGCCAGGAAAACCACAAGTTGGAAAAAAATGTTTACAAAACACAATATTTTGAAAAAATGTTGGCAATAACCCATTTAAATTACTTTTATCAGCAATGGCAACCCTGCTTTAGCGCTCCCATAACCACAATAAGAATCTAATAAGAATTAACAGAAAAACAAATTACAAACAGGAAAAATCCGTGCAAAATGATGATGCCGTTGATATTCGTGATGTTGGCTGGTATCATTTTTCAAAATAAAAAAATTTAAAAAGGCATAAAAAATTGCCAATGATTTCGAATGGCAGGCAGGCAAATCATAACACAAATGGGCTTGACCAAACGAGCGAGCCGCACAACACAACCCGACAAAACTTCATTGTTTCTTTCTTTGTTTGCCACCAGCCATCAGAAAGTTGAAACCAAGAAACCCATTAAACCAAATAACAAGAAACGAAACGGAGGCAAGTAAACAAAACAGCAATGACCACAAGACGGTGGAGGAAGGGAGGAGGGAATGGCCAGAGCATAACACCAGGGCAATGTGCCGCCGACATCGATGAACACACACAAATATTATATACAAATTAGCTCACTGATTGATGGTGATGATGATTCAAATGGTTCGGGGTTCAATGGGAGTTTCGGGAGGATACAATGCATCATGATGAGATTACATCAACAATCCATGATTATTTTTTCACTTAAAAATTACAAACACAACTTACCTCTGATTTTGGTACGTTTGGTTAGATTTAACCATATCTCTCCCTTGATGGTTTGACCAGCTATATAAACTTTATCGGGATTATCCAAAGTTATGCGTAAACGTTCGTTTTCCATGTTACTGTTTTTTTTTGCTAACAACCCCACCGCACACACTAGGAACAGGAACAACAAAAACACTTGTTTTGTTTTTATTTTTTCTTGATTTCTTTTCTAATTTTCGTATTTGTTGTTTATTTGCAATTCAAAATTTTTGCTGTTAGAAAACACAACACTTTTCGGCTGCCTATTTATTTCACTCATTTTCCATCTCTCTGGGAAATTTTTTTCACATCTTCTTCACTGCCGCATATTTAGATTTGCTTTTATTTTAAATGTATTTTTGTTGTTGTTTTGTTTGTTCACTACATTTATCCAAAAATAAACTTCCTCTATTTGCTGCTTGCTGAATTCTTTGATTTTTTGCTGTTTTTCTTCTTTTCGACGATTTCTTCTAGCGCTGCTGTCATTGTCACCTTCCACCAACCACACTCGACACTCCACTACTGGCCAGCCAGCAGCAGCCTCAACTATTATTTTTGACAATTGACCATTGAGTACTTTTTATTAGTTGTTGTTTTTCTTAATTGTTGTAATTTATTTATTGCCTTAAAATAATTAATTTATTACTTAAAAATATATCTTCTTGTCTTGTTTTGTCTTCTCTTTAAGTACCACCAACTAAAAGTGTTTGCCGTTCGTGTTGTTATATATGTGTGTTTATACAAATCATTCACAATTATGGACAATTTTTCCTTTATGTTGTAAAATGAGAGAGATAGAGAGAGGAAAAATGAGCGAACAGTGTGGTCCATGTGTTTTGATGTAAGAAAAAACGCGTAAATATTGTGATTCATTACATCTTGAAGAAAAAAAATAGATTATTTTAATTTTTTGGGAATTTAATAACATTTTTAAAAAATTTGTATTTCTAAATAAATATCCTATTTGCCAAAAGGTTGTTGATCCATTTGCTTATAGTTGTTATTAACTTCTTTTTAGAAATATAAATGTTTTTTAATGACTTTTATTGAAATAGGAACACTTTTTTTTTAAAGAAATGTAATTATTTAAGATTTGTAATTAAAGCGATGCAATAACAATTATATATTTATTTATTATTATTTTATAACTTTGTGGGACAAGTTTAAATAAAACTTTAATATTTTATTGAAAATTGAAATTTTCAAATTACTATTTGTAAATCATAAACATTTATATCCACCTTTCCACCTTGTAATTAATGTCACTATTTGATTCCACACATTTTTGGAAAATATTTAAAATACTTAAAAAAACGAAACTTTTTGAATGATTTTTTAATTATTCATTTTAAATCTTAGTCAGTATTGTCTTAATCTGAGTTGCTGATGTTTAGTATTAATATTAAATGAATATCAACACTTATTTTTATAAGATTTTTTTTAGAAATTTTTTTAAGATACTTTTTTTAAGTAAAAGTGCAATAAAATAAAATTTTTTATTAATGTTTTACTTTTGTGACATTTAGGTAGACTGAAATCATATAATTATTTATTTTATTTATTGGTGTGATGATCTTTTTTATTTTATTAACTTAAATCAGACATGTACTATGTTTGTTTTAATTTGAAATTCTAATACAAAAATAAACTGAAACAATGGAAGGTCAAACGGAAATGTAATTTGAATTTCAGTCAACCAGAACATTGTGGGAATGTATATGACATATTGTAAAGTATTTGCTGTTAATAAAAAAGTTTAAAAACTTTGTTTTTTAATTTACTCTCTTTTTATAAAATGTAATAGGATGTTAAAATTTTCTACACAAGGGTCTTTTCTCTACATCAGGTGAAGTTCGAACGTAAGCTATACCAGACCAAAACCTATTAAAAAGGTTACCCAGACTGCGAAAATCAGCTGGATTTTAACAGAAAACTTGAGAAGAAGCTGATATGCATGCTGTGTCCATGTATAACCTGTTAAAAATGCATATACATTATAACTTTTTTACTGGGTTAACTACTACTAAATCCACTCCATTTCAAAAGTATAGTATCTTCCTTCATGGCTTCCACTGGAGCTCAGTTTCTTAACCACTTTATTATATCATAGTTCCCATGGATCTCTGTTTATATACTAACTTAATTTTTCTCATTTGTCTTTTTTACCATTGCTATTTGTGCTTTGGTGTATGATCTGGAGACAGGTATGTCGTAGCTTAAATTATTCCACCAATAAGCCGCGCATTTTCCTCTCACAGCACCACTACTATTTAAAGAAGTTAAGTGACTTCCGTTTGGGGTCCATATAGCAACCGGTCCAGATCAATAATATTTTATGTATTATTTTAGAAGAGTTCTAATTTTTTTAATAACTTTACTTTTAGTCCCTGGTAGATCTTCGGTCTCTGAAATGAGTTCAGAAATTATATTTATAGAATACAGAATTAAGGTACATATGTAGGTAGGTATGGATATGGTTCATTCATATATCTGACATTAAATACATATAGAAATAAGTGCAGCTCAGCTAAAAAATGATTTCAAACAATTGTATATCAATTATAAACAAAAAAATATATAACAATAGCAACATTAGCAATAGTTACTCACCTAGAAATAAATACAGTGGGCCCTAGCTATGATAAAACAAGCGTAGATGTCATACAATATGTTATAATAGGTTCGTTTACTTTCCCAGTAACATATACTAAGTAAGAATTTGCAGAGAGTAAATACGAATTTTTCGTTCTCAAGAGAGAAAATTTGCAAAAAGTAAACTAACAACATCCAGTAAAAAGATTGTATCGACACAGCTGATAAAAACATCAACAAAATATGGCGCTAATAAAAAAGTAGCATTTTTATTAGAAAGATTTATAACTAGCTGAACATTGATGCTTTTTATAAATACTTGCGTTTTCTTCATCCATTTTAATGTTTAATATAACAAAATTCACAAAGCAATCAATTAGCATGAGAACAATTTGGTTGTTTGTTTACAAAACAGCTGATTAAATATCAGCTGATGGTACAAGAAAATTCTTGTAAGAATTTGCAAATAATCTGAAAAAATAAGGAACTGTGAGAAGGTAAGTATGTTCAATTGTCTTCGTCTCTTCCTCGTCAACGCAGAGTCTACAGTAATCAGTAGCATCATGATCACATTTACTGGTAAAGGTCCTGATATGCAATGACCAGTAATGATTCCTGTCATTACTCTTATTTCAGCTTTGCTCAGGTTCAACAGTGAGTGTGTCCTTTTGGTAGAAAGAGTCGGCCAAATACATCTTGACACATTGCACCTAGGTTCGTTGTGCCAAACTTCATAGGCTCTTTCGTCAAAGAAAGAGCCATCAATTGCTAGATCTGTAGATTGAGATCCTCGTCTAGCTAATTCGTCTGCTCTTTCATTACCCATGATGTCACGGTGTCCTGGTAACCAACACAGCCGATAGCTGTAAGTAAGTTCTTCCAAAGTGTTCTACACTTGAGGACGGCCTCAGATTTGACGTAACAGGATTTTATGGCATTAAGAGCCGCTTGTTAATACCGAAATGAAGAATTTACCTCAAAACAGCTGATTAAATATCAGCTGATGGTACGATAAAATTCTTACTGAGTAATTTTTTCTTGTAAGAATTTGCAAATACTCAGTAACACAACTGTCAAAGCTGCTCTCTCAACTCACTCTCTTTCTTGGACTTTTGGGTTAACGAATAAAATTTTTTAATAATTTGTACAAATTATTGAGTAAACGAACGAACCTAATGTGTTATAATAGGTTCGTTCGTTTACTTTCCCAGTAATATTTACTCAGTAAGAATTTGCAGAGAGTAAATACGAATTTTTCCTTTTCAAGAGAGAAAACTGCAAAAAGTAAACGAACAACATCCAGTAAAAAGATTGTTTCGACACAGCTGATTAAAACAACAAACAAATTGGCGCAAACTATAAAACAGCATTTTTCTTAGAAAAATGGATAACAAGCGGAAAATTGATGTTGTTTGTTCCCCATAAACATTTAAAAGGGTTGTGACCTGTTATTCCTGTATCTGCAATTGATATGGGGGTGGACATAACCGATGGTGTTCCAGACATGTTAGGGATGCACACTTTTTTGTTTCGATTTGGAACCTAAAAAATCGTTCGCCAATTACTCTTATTACTCTTATTTTTAAATACTTGCGTTTTCTTCATCCATTTTGGTATTTAATGATACAAAATCAAAATAAAATTCACAAAACAATCAATTTTCTTGAGAACAATTTTTTGTTTGTTTACAAAACATAACAAAACAGCTGATTAAATATCAGCTGATGGTACAAGAAAATTCTTACTGAGTAAATTTTCCTTGTAAGAATTTGCAAATACTCAGTAACACAACTGTCAAATCTGCTCTCTCAATTCACTCTCTTTTACTGGACTTTTGGGTAAACGAACAACATTTTGTAATAATTTGTACAAATTCGTACAAATTATTAAGTAAACGAACGAACCTAATGTTTCATATACTAAAAATCGGGACTAGTAAAATTGTTGAGATTTTCAACTACAATTTGAATTTTATTTTATTTCGAAATTGGAACCACCAAATTCAAAATTGTTGTACCGAAAAAGTTCATTTTTATTGAACTTAACGACATTTTAATTTGTTTAAAAATTCGAAGATCTCCATCACGTGTATCTTTTTCCGTTTGAAATTCAAAATCGTTCTTCTCTTGCCTGAAATTTATATTTTTTTAAATAAATATTTATTAAATCTTTATCATTTTTAATAACGGATTACTGTCTTAATTCGCTCATGTCCCACAAGTCTGGTTTTATAAAAAAACAAAACTAAGCGGCCGGTATCAGAAGCAGGAATCCCATTGTTTAATGTGGATATATATATGTACATACATATGAACACGTACATTCATCTACTCTACATATATATGTTTGTATTTATGCGGATGAATTGGATGACAGAAAGAAGCCCACAAAGTTTTCTATTTCAAGTTCAATTTTTCAGTATCTCAGTGGAGTTGATAGTGAATGGTGGCCGACGCGGCGCGAACTAAACGTAAAACTAGTCGGGAAGCCGGGTGCACAAAACGAAAATACCAAACAAAGCGACAGTAAAATTACAAAGAAAACTAATTTTGCGTGTGTGATTTTGAATTCCCTTTGAAACAACAATAACAACAACAAATGAATTACAACAATAAACAAACAAAAGACCATTTAAATATGCTGAAGATGTTGTAAAGAAGTGTGTGTGTGTTTGTGTAGTGTACACTGACCTTGTATTTGGATCTTTTTGTTTGGGGGCTATGTATAGACCAGTTTTCCGACTAGACAGATCAATTTAGCAAAAGGAAGAAAAAAACGAATTAAGTAATTTTGATTTATTACATTTATTGTGTAAAGTTCAAATAAATTTAAAAAATAATTTAAAATAGAATTCAAATAATCCACAATGTCTAGCAGTAAATGTACCATTACCTTTGATAATAATCCATTTGGTGTTTATTATGCCGGTCAAGTGGTGTCTGGGACAGCCGAATTGGTGACAACGCGACCAAAGACAATACGATGTAAGTAAAATTAACAATTAAAAATATTAAACGTGCTACTGCAGAATAAAAACAATAAATATTTGAGGAACAAAATTTAATAACAAAATACTTGCAGCTTCAGGAACAGGCCATAAACTTCTCCTGCTCTTTTTGCGGAATACCAATTCAAAGTTTATTGTCCGCAAATAACATCTTTAAGTTGGTCCATTGTCAAACAATTTATGTTTCCCCATTGCAAATAACACGCAATTATCCCCCCACTCTCTCCCATTTGGCAATTACAATGTGTCATCACTACTCTCTGTCATTAAGGGCTCATTCTTCTTCCTTTTCTTGTAATTCATAAAACTATACGCATTGCATTGTTTATGATTACGTCAGCTCCGGATATTAGAAGTAGACAAGAACATTCACATATTTATATATACATATATATTTCTAAAGCGGCGACATACAAACATTTTGAATTATAATAATAAAAACAAAATTATATCGTCATCAAACATTTGGCTGCGTAGCTGCTGCTCATTAAAATTCTCTTCAGCTGTGTGTGTGTGTGGCTCAATACGAGGTATGGTGTGTGAATGAGAGTAAAATTACATTTTAAAAGGGTGCTGACCTTAAGCTAAGTGTCAAATTGTTACTTGTGATCCCTAATGTAATGTAATATTAAATGGCGGGAAAATGGAACATTGAAATGAATTTTATTAGAAAATCGATTAAAACAATTTAAAATGAGTTTCCTCGAAGAATTGGTGGATTTTACCTTAATAAGGAAATGTGACGTGACATGGATTTAAATGAAAGTAGTTATAAAATGTGCAAAATAGTTAAATATTTGTTACAAAATAAATATATAATAGGCCCTGTGAAGCTAAGTGAATGTTAGCGAAGACAAAAACTGATAAAACTTTTCAAATTTGGATCTGTTCCAGAACTTAAGAAGACCTTCTATTCACCGACAATATTTTTCAAAAGTTTTACTAGTTTATGAGTACATGAACAGTTCTATGTTAAAGAAAAAAAAAAATAAGAATATCGATTAATGAAAAATTTTTGCAGGTTCTGGAAATACGTGTTCTAAATGGGTACCAAACCAAATGTGGAAATATTACCATTTAGATGAAAAAAGAGATATTAGGAGACCAGTCATGGATCATTTTGATGTTTTTCTATCCAGCCATATAAGCCTCAGCATGAGGTGGGCTATCAACACCTCAAAATATTTGATCCACCTCAAAATATTCCAAATTAATAGATTTTTTCCGATGTACATAGGTACCTACATCCATCTTTTGGCATAATGGCCAGGATCAGTTAAAATTTCAATATGTTGAGGTACATAGCCAAGTGTTTCAAGTATTAGCAGACAATTTGAAATGGCATAATCTCTATATAAAGGTTCTATTAGCTTTGGGGTTTATATAGTTTCGTCCAGCCGAACCTAACGTCGTTTATTTCAATATTTTTCCATCGTTGTATTAGGGATTTAAATATCAGAGGTTAAAGAGGGTACCAGTAAGGTCGCTGATTACATCCAGAGCTATAAGCTTCCAAAGTTCCGATGTTTTTTATAGTATATCGTTAGCTAAAATAAAAAAAGGCGTAACTAACAAAAGCATAATTGTGTAGGAGAAGCAAAAAACTGTTTTGAATGAAAACTATAAACACGTCATGTGAAATGAAAAAACAAAAGACTATTATTTTTTTAACAAATTTAGTTATTTAGTTTAATGACAGTCATAACAATTAAGTAAAAATTTGAATTTTTTGTTAGTTACGCCTTTTTGCATTTATCAAATAAAAAACTTTTTGTTTTTTGTTAATTGAAGTTTTGTAAAACTTTGTCAACACAAAGACATTCACAATATTCATTCAAAAAGTCAATTTTCAATTTTTTGTTAGTTACGCCTTTTTGCATTTCAGCTGACAATATGTAGTTCTTTTCCTATGAGTTTTATCCTCATTCAATTTTCAATGGATATTGATTTTTTAAATTTGGAACACAAACATATTTTTTAATGGTACTTTAAAAAAGTCTCTTTCATTTCGTCAATGCTATTTTCTTTTTCTTGCTAGAAACTCAATTTATCATACCAACCCCCTTGAGCTCAACTACAATCGGCCATAATTCATCTAGGTGTAGAATTATATTCCAGAATATCGGCATGTCCACAAAACTGTTTCAACTGAAATAAACCATGAACGTCCAACAAAACCAGTTTTATTTTCAGTTCTGCTGATTGTGTGAGAAACCAATCTATGCCGAACAATTTGTTTTTGTTGTGGTATTTTAATTACATTTTTTTTGTTTTTCTGTTGAACCATTAATTAGATTGGTTTATAATTACAAAACAGAAAAAAATTAATATAACAATATTTAAATATAAGTTTTAATTTGTACACATACACAAATGGTTTTGAATGGCTTTCAAAGAATAACACATTACATGTAAAAATTGTGTATGTAATAGCCAAAGAAAAATCAGTTCGAAAACTTCCGCTTTTCAAAGGGGGGAGTAGGTAAAGAGAATTCCTCTGGTTCTAAATTTTCAATTCAATTTATTCCAAAGGGCCATGATCGATTCCAAAAACTTCATTACATGGTACTCCAAGTTTCAATTTAGTTTTTTTATGTGTCTTCAAAGATAGAAGGCATTTCAGTTCCTCTTTCTTATCTTGAGATCATCTGTCCGAATTTCATCTCGTGTCTATCTCGTAATAGTGTTGACATCAATTATGTCCAATGCTACTTAATGACTTAATACTTATTGTTATTGCTCTTAATTCGGGCGTTCCAAACCTACAAAAGAATTTAATTAAATAATTGGAGGTCATTGCATGATCAGCATGGAGGCAGCACCCTCATCCTCTATTGTGGCTGGCTGGTAATTGATATACGAATTGGATAAAAATAGAAATTCACATCCAAAGCCTAAAGTATTGGCTCAAGTGTGTATTTGAAAATCCATTAAGATAAAGAAAATAACATTTTTTCCTCATGCAATTCACATTGTCTATAAATACCAGAGTGTATTGCATTCTAATCATCTCATAATTAAGCATTTTTTCAAAAACTAGTTTCACCACTTTTTAATTTTTATTTCTTTCCTTTTCCTTTTAGCCATTTCGATTAGCATAAGCGGTTTCTCAGAAGTACGCTGGACGGAAAATATCACCAAACAAGATGCTCAGGGTAATCGGCAGAAGGCCCTGGAAACATATTCAGCATCGGAAATCTATTATTCGAATGATAAATTTGTCTACGGGCAAAGTGGTGGCTCGCAATTGGAATTGCCGGCTGGTAAATATGTCTTCCCATTTCAAGGTTCCATACCACCAAATGCTCCAACGTCATTTAATGGGGCCTGGGGTCAAATACAACATGAAGTCACCCTGACCATAGACCGTGTTATGCGCTATAACAATGTGTTTAAGCAGGCTTATACCGTTATATCGCCATACGATTTGAATTTAAATCCAAATCATGGGGTAAGTAAAAAGTCTATAAAATCTATAAGCTATATTAGCTTGGTTACCAAAATATGTAATAAATTAAATTAAAAATTAAAATCTTTTTTTTTTCTTCATAATTAACTCATCAATCCTTCACTTCCTCTCTCCCTATCTTCATTTTAGAAACCTTTGCATAAAATCGAAGAGAAAACCTTCTGTTGGAGTCTCTGTTGTGGCAGTAAAGGTCCTATGGTAATGACCGCCAAGGCACCATTTAGTGCCTATGCCCCGGGACAAAAAATACGCTTTAATATAGTTCTCGATAATCAATCCGATGTCCATTGTTCCGATGTTAAGGTGCGTCTAATGAAAAAAGTCATCTACACGAGTCGTTCGCCCGAAACAAAAACCAAGGAAACCGAAATTAAAGTTGCCGACAATCATTGCGGCGAAGTGGTGAAATTTAATAAAGCCGAATTCAATGAATTTTTACAAATACCCTCAACAACACCAACTTCCCTAGAAAGCTGCAGTATTATTAAAGTTAGTTATACATTGAAATTTATTGCCAAGGTTTCACGGATTCATGGAGATTTGATAATTGAATTTCCGCTGACAATTGGCACGGTGCCGATATTTGCAAGTACAATTGAAACGGATGCGATTACGGCCCAACCAGGTCGGGGACCGGTATATAAACCACTGCGTAAGTCGTACACTCTCTTATTTTATTACAAATATTATTAATTGTTTGAAAATTTCTCTCGCCCAGCTCCTCCCATGTTCGAAGAAGATGTACGCTCCGAACAATTTGAAAGCAATACATTTAAACCCAGATATCCGGTATTTTTAAATGATGGTGAGTTGGGTGTTAATGGTACAGCAGCACCCGGCCCATCGGCCCCACCCCCAGCCGCCGCGGCAAATAATCTCTATCCTCCAGTGCAACCAGTTCCGCCGGTTACACCAACTCCACCCAAATCGAATATAATACCAACTGCCCCACCAGCCACGGCACCTTCCATGCCATCACCAGCTGCTGTCCAACAGCCAAATACAAATCGTTCGGGTCCAACTCATCAACCATCTCTTGAAGTTTTAGGTTTTAGCATACCACCTGACTATGAACCCACTCAAACCGATCCAGCTGCAAATATCGGCTGGAAATGAAACAATAAGTCTTCATAAACTTTTTTTTAACTATTATACGATTTTTTTCAACTATTATATTGCATTTCTTTTATATATCTCACTTGATATATATATATATATATATATATATTTACACAACTCTATATATATATACATGTATACAAACTTTTTTTGTATTTTTATAAAATATATAAAACAATAAAGGAACCAAGACAAATGTATTAATTAATCTACGAATATTTGTATACACTCCAGCATAAAGTGAATTTGTAATACATACTTCGAAATATTCGATACGAATACAATTCTATGTCGATGTACCCATGTATGTATGTAGGTATAACAGTTTTATACCACTTTTTTATACCCTTCACCATACTGTGGTACAGGGTATTATGACTGTGAATATGCATAGAATCACTTTCTGAGTCGATTTATGCATGCCCGTCCGTATGTTGATGTTAAATTGTAAACAAAGTACAGGTCGCATTTATCATTCGATTTTAGGAAAATAGTGTACCAAAGCCAAGTTTTCTTGAAATTTACATATACATATAGCTCCTATATATATTTTCTTCCAATTTTAAGTAAATGGTGCACTAAAGACCCATAGCTAGGCCTCTTGAAACAACGTACTGAAATAAATATAAATTAATCCCGAGCAAGCTTCCTTGAAATCGGTTCAGATTTAGATATAGCATAACTTCAATATATAATTTCCACCTATTCATGTTAAAAAAATTTAGCATAGGTTGCAGAATTGCATGGGTAGGGATTGATTTTAGTCGTTTTTTATATAAATAAAGATCACATTATCGAAAATCGACTTCTGTTAGGATTCATATGTAGAATATACCCAAAGTGGTGATAGGTATCATATAGTCCGACAATACTACTTTCCCTACTGGTTTAAGATAATAATTTTTTATAGTGTATCACCAAATAAAATACATCTCTGTATTAACAGCTGATTGCCTTGCTATTGTGAATGGTCACAGTGAACATGTGGTGCGATTTGTTTACCTTTGAAACGTTCATTCGTTGTTGTTTTGGTATTTTAAGATCTACTGGAAGGGAAAATTTCACTTTTGACGTAACTTGTTTTTTACTTTACAAGCCAATAATAAAACAATAACAGATAACAGGCGGCTAATATAACCTGACCCCTTTGAACGTTCCACAGTAGAGAGTGAAGAGCGTTTTAAAAGCTCGCAAGCAAACAAAAAAGAGCCCCGACACACAAAGCAAAGGGCCATTGGAGTGAAGAAGAGTCGTTGTTTTTTTTAATGAATGGCTTATAACTGTCATTGGTGATTATTAGTCAAGTCGGTGGCGTTTTGCCAAGCCTTAATATTGTGCTGGTGGTGGCGGTGTCTTGGATGAGCAGCTAGTCCGGCTAGCTGGTTGATTGGTTCGTCCGCAGAAGAAAAAAAGAAAGTTGAGAAATAAAAAAAACTGAAAGAGCATGAATGAATGAACCAGCATTTACACTCAAAATAAAGCAAAACTCGGCTTGACTGACAACCAACAAAAGCCCCCCAGCAATGATCAGTATTGTAACAGGTGCTTATCGAAGAGGAGGCTTAAACTGAAATTATTACCTAAGCGGAATATGCTGATAAGGAATATAAAGTGTTTTTGTTTATTATGATACGGCTACGACGACGAAACGGGCGTACAAACGAACTCTGGCAATGCAGCGTATTATAGCGATTATAGTGTATTGATATTTGCTATAGCAGAAGAATACAACAACAGCAACAAATTTGGAATGGATTCGATTACAGTCTAAAAAACAATTTTGAAAACTTTCTTTTGAATGCACATTGGATAATTGTGCAGTTTATGCCAACATTTTTGTGCAGGTAAGACATAAGACTATATACGTTTGTATACTATAAATTTAATGTAATACAGTTACATATTTAAACTATAATTATAAATACGTGTTGCTAATAATGTCGTTGTTATGCTATTGTGTATTATTATTTATAATTGTTTTGTTTTCCACTTACAATTTTGTAATCATAATCTGTACTTCGAATCATGATTTTTTCCAGATAATTATTTGATACCTAGGCAATTTTCTAATTAACCTTATGGCATATCTAAAGATATCTTATTATAATGGTTTCGAATTGTCATTTACCAATCTCACGTACGCATCGCTGATCAAGCGCATGCAGGCGTACACTTCTTTCTAGGCTTAGTATTGGGCCTCCGTTTCCACATACATACAACATACCACATAGTAGATGACACTACATATAACATCGTTTGTCTAAGATGCTCCGATCCAGACAGAGAAGGTGTGAGCTGTGAATGTCAAAATTGTTATTTAAATATTTAACACCTGTCATTTAGACAACAGAAGTGCGTAAATGCCATCCATTGTATTATCTCGAAGGCGGCCGAACATAAATAAACTATTTGTTTTTATTTAATTTTCGCAATATTTATGTTATGGCAAAATGTTGAAATAAGAGGAAAAAATGCTGTGGTTGGATAGGCCATACATTTTTGTTGGAATATTTGTCGTCGTGTTTGTTCGTGTATATCCTCAGATAATTAACATAAATTTGAATTTGGTTTTGTGTGCACAGCAAACGGTTTTCATTTTGTTGTTTTATCACCCAAATCAATCGAAAATAGTTTATTAAAATTTCAAGGGCAAATAACTTTACAAAGAAATAACAAACAAAAAACAAACACACCCTTTTTTCAATGAAAATTTAGTCATTGATTTGTGATGAGAATATTTCAATGGAAATTCAAAAACGAAGTTGCATGCATTCACAGAAAGACTAATAAAAACTCTTTTTAGAAATACCTTAAAATGAAATTTACTTATTTGAGCGTGGAATCCGAACGAGACATTTTAATATACCTTAAAATGTCTCATTCTGATTCCACGCTCATATAGGTAAATGACATTTTAAAGGTAAGAATATTTTTTCAAAGACTATCGGAGGGCGGATTTTTTAAGAACCTTTTCAAAGACGTATCAGAAGCGTTGATTTTAGGGAATGTTAATCAAGGACTATTTGAGTTCTGATTTTTTTAAATAATATATTTTATTTACTATCCGAAACGTTGATTTTTCGAAAGATTGTTTTTTCTGAATTGTGGAGGTTAAAAAAAATGAAAGCATAACTTTTCTTGCTAAAGGTTATATCTACAGTTTTGAGTTGTTTGGTAGCCTATAGTAAAATTTAACGTATAATAAGATCTCCATTAATATCACTTCTCTATATTTAGGTTTTAGGGAAGAGTTTGGCCCATACAAGAAAATGTACTAAATTACTTCAGATACAATTATTTTTTAATTACCCAACGTAAAAATCTAACCTCACAAAAATATATTTTTAATGACCAATTTGAAGGTCTCTATTCTATTGATAAATATTACAACTACAGTTTGGAATGTTTGAAATTTAGTGTAGAATTTGACCTCCATTGACGTCATACTTCTGAAGTGAAGAATAGAAGAAGATTTTGGCATAAAACCTAAAACATTAACCTTCCAAAATAACCCAAATTTATATGCCTATATTTTTTTTGCTAAATATTATATCCACAGTTTTGAGTTGTTACCTATATTACCTATAGTGAAATTTAGTGTAGAAAATAACCTTCATTGACATCACCCACCTAAATTGAATTTTTGAAAGACATTTTGGGCAAAACCAAAAACTTGCAAATTAACCCTAAAAATTGTTCTTTTATCTACCATATGACTATATTTTATTGCTAAATATTATATCCACAGTTTTGAGTTGTTCGATGACCTCTAGTGATATTTAGTGTAGAATTTGACCTTCATTGACATCACCCCTCTAAATTGAAGTTTTGAAGGCAATTTTGGCCAAGAATAAAAACTTACCAAATTAACCTTAAAATTATTTTTTATACCAAATTTAAATGGCTATATTTTTTGCCCAATATTATATCTACAGTTTTGAGTAGTTCGATGACCTCTAGTGAAATTTAGTATAGAATATGACCTTCATTGTCATCACCTTCCTAAATTGAAGTTTTAAAGGCAATTTTGGCCAAAACCAAAAACTTGTCAAATTAACCTTAAAAATTCTTTTTTTTATATCAAATTAAAATGGCTATATTTGCTAAATATGATATCTACGATTTTGGTTTGTTCGGTGACCTATAGTGAAACAAAAAACTTACTATATTAACCTTTTATGGCCAAATATTATATCTTCAGTTTTCAGCTGTTTGGTGACCCATAATAAAATTTAGTCTAGAATATAACCTACATTAATAAAATTTCGATAAATTTGAAGTTTTGAAGGAGATCTCGACTCAATTCGAAAAAAAACAATGTAGCAAATTATTCTCAAAAATATTTTTGGTGAACCACAATAAAATGTGTATGTGTACTACATTAGTAGAAGATCTCGGCTCAATTCGAAAAATAATATATCAAATTATTGTCAGAAAATGTTTTTGTTTTTATTTTTAATTTGAATGTCACTACTAAATTGCTTTATATTACATTTATTATTTTCTATTGTGTGGCGATCTAAACTTGACCTCCACTAATAGCATCTTTCTAAATTGTAGACTTGAGTTAGATTTTAACCTCATTCCACATTAACCTCAAATATTCTTTAAACAAAATTCCTAGATTTTTATCTCTTCAATACAGAAAGATCTCTATTCTGACCTATGTGGACTTCTAAAAAACAATATAACAAAATATACAAAGCCTTTATTTTATAATTTAAATAAAATCTTTTTTTTCTTTTTCCAGCTTCACAAAATAAAAAATAACTAAAAAACATTTTCTAAAATAAAAGCTATCATCAACACTGTGAATTTTGACTCCGATGATCTGTACAACCTTATCTGGCAGTGGACGTAATGAACTATTACTTCATATTGTCTAAAATACCTTAGCGTAACGTCTCAACATACAACAACAACGACGACAACGGCGCATAACAAACAATACCTGTAGACGACACTGACACACACTCAAACATTTCATTCATTCATACATTCAACGACAAGAAAGAAGAAAGAAAAAAGTGAAACTTAAAATCCTCAGTTGCGAGTTATTGCTTGCACACAACACAACGCACAAGAAAACAACCTCACCTCACTCACTGTTCCTCACAGAGTAAACAATTTGGATAGGAGGCAACGACGACTGACAAGAAATTATTTTAAAGATGACACCACAAGTGAGTACAACAGCTAACACAGCGACAACGGCGACAACACCATTGGAACAGCCCAAATCTCCGGCCAAAAAACGTACACACAGCAAAAGGGAACAGTTACAACAAATTATTGCCGGTGGCTTGGCAGCAGCTATTACCAGATCCACCTGCCAACCGTTTGATGTGTTGAAAATTCGTTTCCAATTACAAGTCGAACCAATTGGTTTTGATCCCCTCACAGCGGCAGCTAAAAAATCCAAATATGTTTCCATTAGCCAAGCGGTGAAGACAATATTCAGGGAGGAGGGTCTTTTAGCCTTCTGGAAAGGTCACAATCCGGCCCAGGTGCTTAGTGTTATGTATGGGATATCACAATTCTGGACATACGAACAGCTGAGTTTGTATGCCAAACAGACCACCTATCTGAAGGATAAACCAAATCTATCCAATTTTGTGTGTGGTGCGATTGCTGGCAGTACGGCTGTGATAATTTCAACACCATTAGATGTGATACGTACGCGTCTAATTGCTCAGGATACAAGTAAGGGTTATCGTAATGCTACACGGGCGGTGGCATCGATAATACGCAATGAAGGACCACGCGGCATGTATCGTGGCCTCTCATCAGCTCTGTTGCAAATAACACCGCTCATGGGTTCCAATTTTATGTTCTATAGATTATTTTCCCAGTCGGCATGTAAAATGTTCCACGTGGAGGAAAGGAGGTGAGGAAAATATGCAGATTTTTTTAACGTTAAACTTTGATCATATCCATTCGAATGTATTTCCAAAAAAAATCCTGGGAATTCTTTAAATATTGTCAAAGTTTTTCTTCATTTTAATTGAAATTTCCATTTTGTATTTGTCTTTCAGCCAACTTCCCACCTGGACTCTTTTGATAATGGGCGCCTCATCTGGCATGCTGTCGAAAACCATTGTCTATCCCTTTGATTTGATCAAGAAACGTTTACAAATACAAGGTTTCGAATCGAATCGTCAAACATTCGGACAAAATATACGCTGTACCGGTGTCTATAGCTGTTTACGCGAAACGATCAAACAGGAGGGCGTTCGTGGACTATATAAGGGTGTTGCTCCCACACTACTTAAATCAAGTCTGACAACAGCTCTCTACTTTAGTATATATGATAAATTGAAACAAATCCAATGGCTACCAGCCAAGTCTAGTTAAAAAATCACACACACATACATACATGCACATTCAATGTGGTTATTAAACGCAGGATAATTTAATAACTGTTACATTTTTTTTTGTTTTAAAAGACTATTTTTGTTTTAGTTAATTATACCTTGTTTTCAAAATATATATTGTAAATAATTTTATAGTTAGTACAATTTAAGTTAAAACACATAAAAAATTGTTGTTTATTTTTATTAATATTATTTAATTAGTATATAGATACACACATTCTTAATTAATTTTTTGCGATACATATTTTTTGGAACGATATTATTTTTTTTTAATAAAAAATATACGCATATTTTTAAGGAAATAACTAAAATAAGTTTTTTATTAAAAAACGAACAAAAGTGTGATAAACAAAACAAAACTGAAGAGTAAGTTGTTCCCACAATGTCAAAATAACCTAAAAATAATGTCCATACGCAATTAAATGTCAAGTTTGTATTGTTAAATATTATATCTACCGCTTTGGTTTGTTTGGTGACCTATAGTAGAATTTTGTATAGAATAAATACCCCATTGGCGTCACATCTCTAAATTCATGTTCTGACGAAGATTTCGGGGCAATTCGAAAAACATACGAAATTTTTCATAGATTTTTTTGTTTATTATCAACCAATATAAACCTTTATATATTATTGTTAAATATTATAACTAGAGCTTTGGTTTGTTTGCAGACATTTAGTGAAGAATACAATTCCCATTGGCAACAATACGCAACATATATATATATATATATATCAAATGAAATGTTATTAAATATTATATTTACCACTTTCTGTTGTTAAGTGTATTGCATCCTTCTAATTTGAAGTTTAGAGTGAGATTTTGGACTATAACAAAAAATATACAAAATTACCCCAAGATAACATTGTATTCTTAATGACCAAATTTGAATATAATTATTTTATTGTTTAATATGGTAAAATTTAGTGTAGAATAAGATCGCCATTGACAACAGCCCTTTAAATTGAAGTTTTGAAGGAGATTTCGTCTCAAATCGAAAAACAAGCATAACTTAAGAAAGTTGTCTTCTTTTTATGTCCAAATTAAAATCAATATTTTATTGATAATTATTATATGTATCGATTCCTGTTGTTTGGTGACCTATTGTCAAATTTAGTGTAGAATAAGTCCTCCATTGACTGCATCCTTGAAGTTTAGAGGGTGAATTTAACCCATACGAGAAAATCTAAGAAATTAACGTAAACAAAATCGAATGTCTTTATTGCTAAATATTATATATTTATATATATATATATATATATATTTGTCAGGTATTCTATAGTAAAATATTGTGTATAATATGACATTCATTGACATCACCCATGTAAATTAAAGTTTGAATGAGATTTCGGCCCAAAAACGAAAACGTATCACATTAACCCTAAATAGGGTGGTATTTTTATAGCAAATTTAAATGTCTACATTTTATTGCTAAATATTATATCTATGATTTTGTTTTATTTGATTACCTCTAGTAAAATTTAGTTTAGAAAAAGATCTCGATTGACAATACTTCTTTAAGATTTTGGTTCAATTGAAAAAAAAACTCAAAGTACAATTTCTTGGAAATACAGTCTTTGGTATTTTAATCACAATTTACATTTCAAAATTTTATTTCTATTTATAATTTGAAATACAGTCTTTTATATTTTAATCACAATTTACATTTCAAAATTTTAATTCTTTTTATAAATTTACTACATTTTTTTTCTGTCACATTTAATTGCATAACGTCCAATGATCACGCGTTTAATTAGTTGCCTTGTCACCGTCAAACAAAACCACCTTGTGTGCTATCATTCCCCTGTGAATGTATTGCGGGGAAGAAGAAACAAAAACAAGCGCAACAATCGGTTGGTGCAAATTTACTCGTGAACGTTAAATTGCAAATATTTCAATATTAAATGCGGAAAATATTATTAATTTTTAGTGAATACGAATAAAAAAGTATTATAGTTAATAATTCCAGTGAAATTTAGAATAAAATCAATGAAATTCGCGAAGAAAATTAGTGAAGTAAAAATCTTTGGCAAAAGTTCGTTGTGTGTGTGTGTGTGTGTGTGTGGTGTTGTTTCATGTATGACAAGTTTTATGATTTAGTTGGAAAATGAATGACTCAAGTTCCAATAGCGGATGGTTTGGACATTTTTACCATATGTAGGAACCATGATCACAAATATAAACTTTTTCTTGTGGATATCCATATCTCCAAGTTTTGCGGGACTTTCTAAGGCAATTTAAAGCAGTATGGATGACCAATTTAAAGTTATGGGTCCCCAATTTTCGGTAAGTACATTTGAATATTGTTGTTGTGTTAAATAATAATAACGCTCAATATCTTTTCTAATTAGAATAAATCCGAAGAGTAATTGATGTCCTTTGCCCTCATTCCGGTGAGTTTCCGACCATTATTTTTTAAATCTCTAAAAATGACACCATTACAATATTTGAGATGACCAGAATTTGGTTGCTATAAGTTCGGAACAAGTCTAGTTTAAAGCCCCCACCCAGATCGTTTTGAAATTTTTACCCTGATTACAGCAGTATACTTTTTTCTTGTGGAAATCGGTATTTCCGGAGATATGGGCCTCCAAAGTTCCGTTTGGACCCTTGTATTTTCACGTAATTTTTTTTTTTTTTAAATTCACTGAGGCAATATCGGTATCATTTTAAAGCCGAAAATTTGGAGTTACAATTTAAATGTTTTTATTTTATTGTTCAATATTCTATATATGGGATTGCTTTGTTTTGAAACCTATAGTAAAATTTAGTGTAGATTAAGACCCCCATTGACCGCATCCTACTAAATTGACGTTTAGGGGGTGATTTCGTCACAATACAAATAACGTAAAATTTTTTTAAAAATGTTAAAAATTATAATTTTGTTACTCAATACAATATTCTCTCAATTTTTTGTTTGACGATCTGTACTAAAATTGGATGTAGAACTTTACCTCCTTTGATATCATCTTTAACCTTTGTCATATCCCCAGCCCAAATATCCCAGAGAAAATTTTGTTTTATTTATTTGTTTTTTTATTTTATTTTTATTTAAAATTTAATGCTACAACAATTTTGTAAAAAATTTAAAATTTCTTCTTTTGATTTTTCCTGACTTATAAAACGTACAATACCCACCTGCTTATTGTGCCGTGGTATAAAAAAATGTACAGGATATTTGTGATACTTGTATTCCAAGGGGATATAATTTAAATCGGCATTTATTTTTAAAAATGTCAATGGCAATTTTTTGAATTTTCTCACACTGTCATTTAGAATATCTAATATTTCCAAATAATCATTATCTTTAGGAGAATATATTGTTAAAAATATATGCCGTTTACAATTATTTATATATAATTCCAAATTATTGGCATTATAAGATTTAATGCGTTCCTTTGGTTTTTTAGTTTTTGTCCATGACTGCGCATGATATAATTGTTTATAATTAAAATAATATAAATGATAAAACAACGATGAAGGACTATTAAATTTTTCAATTTTATAAATACGTTTTAAACGATCTATTTTATAAAGATGAATATCCGATTTTTCTAATTTTAAATCACTTTGTAAATATTTTTCTTTATACCAAATTGGATACAGAATATCAATATCCTGCAAATCGGCAATAATATAATCAATATCATAACCATATTTGGCTTTTGAAACATTATAAATTTGTTGTAGTGTTGAGAAATAATATTGGATATTATTCTTTTGCAAATCCATAAAATATATAATAATCGAATTTTTAATATTGTGGAAGTTGGAGGGATCTATAATTTTAAATGATTTTTCATAATTATCTGCAAGGTATTGCCGGAACCATTCTAAATTATTTGCAATGTCATAGGGTATGCAAAATTGTTTGTGCCGTATTTTGGATAATAAATTTTGCCTGTGATGTCGCCCTTCTAGGCCAATATTAATCCGCACAAATTCCATAACTGCATCCGTTTTGGTACTTCTTCCTGTGTAATGTATGAAATTGTGTTTTTCATCTGCCGGTATATAAATTAATTGTGGATAACGATATGCAGTAAACTCAAAGGGTACGTAATTTTTCAAACCATTCATGTAAAAGGTTTCAATTTGATATTCCGCACACTGCCATGCTATTTCTTCATAATTATAATACCACCCACTATAAGGTTCTTGGAAATCTTTTAATTCTATAATTAAAAGAATATTATTTTTTGAATTAGTTATTAAATCTCTATAGTTTTTATGGGCACATATCTTTAAATACCTATCCTCCACATTATGATTTGGCATTATCGATAATTGTGATATGAACAGTTTATCTTCCAACAATAACTTACAAATAAGTAAAATATTCTGTAAGGTCTTCTCATTGCAATCGGAATATTGAAAACGTCGTATACGCCGCTGCTGCTCTCCATCTATGGCAAATATTTGCAATGCCTCCATTTCAGGTTTATTTGCAGATAGGAAAAATCTGATGGATTTTTATAAGGATACATGAGATCTAAATCCAATTGATCAACCACTTGGAATTCAATTGTCTTATCATATGTGAGAGCCGCTTTAAATATCAGATCCAACCATTTGCGATGATAGTAACACTTTTCATGAAAATGATTAAAGGCCAAAATTGTTGGATTTGCTATTTCTTTAAATTTTGAACGTTCCAATAACTTGATACGATTCTGACAGTAGTCCTGAAGATATAGCTTCAAGTCTATATATATTTCCTCCATTAAAGACTGTTCATGTGATGGTGTGGGTGTTTTGTTTGTCTGCTTGGTAAGATCTTCAATATCGATTTGATTCAGGCGTAAAAATTCTTCCATTTTTTTTGCAACAAAAATATTTAGTAAGCCTCTTCGTTCGTACAGAACAGCTGTTGTCTTCGTCAGGCTTAAATGAGTACTGAAAGCTTGTTTTCCAGATGCAAGCATAACAAGTAAATACCAAATACATACTCTTCCCAATAAGAGAGGGAGCACAAACACACA